CTTCTTTCATCGGTGAGCCCAATTACAGAGCCATGATGAGACTATAAATTCTTAATATTGCTCCCCTGGCAATTTGCACTTGTGCAGCATTTTCTTAGGTAGAACCATATTATGGAAGCAATAACGTTTTCACCAGCACAAGCACAAATGGATCATGCCTTATAAATACTGGTTGAGCCGGCAAAGTCTCAAGAAATTAATTCAGTCCATGAGCAACTCCTCACAACCTACTAATATAAAAGCCTACATCATAAAAATGCAATAGAGACTAGCTTAGCTTGATTACTTCTTTTTACTGCCTTAAATTCCAGTAGCTGAAGCTGGAAAGAACTGGACTCATAAAACAGCAAATAAGAAACATTTACTGGATATTGCATTAAAGACAGGATATACCATAAAACATGGGTGGAATTAGTTCTTGAGCTAGTTACCTTTTCCTCTTTAAGATGACTGCTGATACAATTCTGGATGCAAGGTACCAGAGAACAAGAAGTCTATGTTTAAGAAAGTTGTGCTGTCACAGGAATCCCATCTACCATCCCTACCTCCAAGCTGTCTAGCCCCCAAAGTGCGTAAGCACAGTTCAGACAAAGGAGATGTAAATCACACAACATTGCTTTGTCCAGCCATACTGTATATGAAATGCCACTGTCGACTCACTTCCCCTTCTCTGAAATGAAAGTACCACTCAATCAGATGAGATAGCAGCTGTGCTCAACACTGCCAGGCTGCTTCTTCCTAAGTCCATCACCCTGGTTTCTTGGTCTGTTCTGAATTTGTTTGTATTTCTGCACCTGCAGTAAAATCCCTCTATAGCTCATCAAAGAAATATATTTCCAAGTACGTGACACAGAGTGATTAGGAGCAATGAAACTGAGCATATGAGCAGCCTGGTCTTGATGCAGAGCTAAGATCTCCCAAGACAGCCCAGAACAATGTTAGTTTGGTGATTTACTGATACTGTAAAGAAACATATACCTTTTCTCCCTAGACCCATAACCCGCTGCTGATCATAGACGTGGCTCAGATGGAGTCTACAGGACAGATAATAAAATCTCATTAAGGATATAAATTTTTTGCTCCTAACAAGTGTGTTTAAAGAAAGAGAGAGAGAGCGACAGAGCGCATTCTCTGGCTCTCTTTCACCAGACAAGAGCAGCATGATTTGTCCCTTAGCCTGTTGCAGACTACCCTAACAGGGATCTGACTGGGGCACAGTCTCCTGTTACAGCAGGCAGCCAGCATCAGATGCCTCACAGCAATGGGCAAGTGCAAGAGCCCCTCCTTAGGCAGGTACTGGATACTCACAAGTTTCAACCTAGTCTTTAAAAACTAAAAGTTGTATTAAGTCCTTTTCAATTACTTTCCAAATGTGTCTTTTCTAGCAGTTGGAATTTGCATTAGGTAACATTTTTCATCTGTGTCAAACCAGTGCTGGTAATGGCCAAACTCGTGTGGATGTTTGCGTGTATGAAACTCTTTCAATCCCTATTCTCAGGCACCTGCTATTTCAGCCGTGAGCTCATTTATCTTCACAGTGCAAGTACCACTAAGCAGTGATCCAGTTACGCTGCTGACTACTGCCCCTGAACAAAAGTCATGAGATAACACAGCGAAGCGCACATTGCACTAAAAAAAATGAGTGGTATTGTGTCTTAATAATGAAAAGCAGCTTGAGTCCCTTTCCCAATACCTTCTGATTACATGTATTACGCTGACACCAAGTTCACGCGCATGCCACCCCCTTTGTGTTCAGCCTTAGACATGCAGTTAGTAAAAGAGCCCATAAAGGGCTTACCAGTGTGACGGACAGATTCTGCTGTCCTTAATTACGCTATTTTAGTGCTGCCTTTATTCATGCTATTTACCTTAAAAGCAAACAGCACACCAAAGTGAAGGCATGATTAAGACAGAAGGCAAGAATTAGCTTAATAAATGCCAAGAATGGGAAATGGAAGAGGAAACATAAGAAGCTATATCAGCCTTAGCCCACCTGGTTATTGCTGCACAGCTTCAAGCCATAAAAACAGACAAATAAACAAGAAGTCTTACAGTTTATGCAAGTTTCATCATCAGCTGACTAGTTATCCCAGCAGCTCTGGAAGGAGGACTTCCAAAGGACATGACAGTGGAATGGAATTTGGGGGAAGGATGAAACTCTTGCCAGTGTTTCTCCTTGAGCCAGGTCCCCAAGTATGGTGGCAACAAGGTAAACGTTACCTGTGTTTGTCAACTCAGTTAACCGCATATTCCCTGTAAGAATTCTGTATCACTTGCTCTTACTTATTTTTAGTTTATTGCATTAGAAGCAAGGGTATTAATCTTCCTCTGTGCAAAAAGGTCTTACATTTCCTTCTAGGACATTTGAAAGTATTGCTTTTAGTTTAATAACACATTTTTATTCTCAGCATGTTGCTTCCTCCCTGCCAATATTTCAGCTTCATCACTAATTCATGAACCATCACTCTGATGAGAATCAGCTCTAGTCTGAGAAAAGGAATTCCTACATTTATTTGTCTCTCGGTTTATAAAAGATACTTTTCTTTTTAATAAGAGGAGGGTTTATTGTGAAAAATGATCATAAATTAGATTTACATTTGTACAGTCAACAGAGAATTTGATGCATACATTATAGGTAAAAGGGTATTATATCAAAGGCTTGTTAGTCTTCCTTTACATGCAGGGAAGTCTGTAGTGGGTTTTTCAAAGCACCATGGAGACTATCCAGCATCCGCTGACATCTTGAAATACATTTAGAAAATCTGGCTCTCCACAAAAGAGGTCAGAACAAACTATACCCAAAAAACCATTCTATGACATGAAATGTAAAAAGCAAAATAAGGGTGGATAAAGCTATGATCACAATAGAAAGGGAGTTAATTTGGGGTGGAGCTGTCTCTTCTTTCATGCACATATTGCCAGGAGATAGCTGGGATACTGCTACTATAAAATTAAGTCTAATTGTCCCTGGACAACAGTATCTTTCTTCGGCAGAATCCAGTATCTTTCCTTCTGCTCTCTTAATTCTGCAGTGCCTGTTTGAAGGAACTGGTTTCCTAATGCAGCTCTCCTGTTAATTTTATGTTTTCTGATAAGGTACAAGAGCAATCCTCCCCAGAGCACAGCTCACTGTCACCATTCTCTCTCCTTCGCAAGCATTCAACCCGAGAGATCTCAGGGCCCCTTCTGATCTTAACATTGCAAATTATTTCTTAAAGAGAATTACAAACATTTCCGAGGGGAAGGCATTAGAAAAGTAATATGCTCAACACTCCCAAGTATGGGCTTATGACCAGACAACAAAACAGAAGAGAAAAATCCCTTCTCCTATACTTATTATTCAAAGAGAAGGTTGATTCCAGTGAAACTCCGCAAACTAAAGCACATGGTGATACGATAGCAAGTTAATGGAAAGATCTTTTAAATACTGAACTGCAAAAAAACATGACTACAATTTAGAATCTGCATCTCTTGAAGTGTAAAATACCTCTAGTTTACTTTACATTCCCCTGACAGGGTTATTAGTGCCTTTTCTGTTACTTTTAGACGAGTTCTGCATGGGAGGAGAATAACACAAAAATTATATGGGAATTTTTCTATATTCACAGTTTATGTGTACTCCAACTAACAGTGGAAGGAAGCTCAAGTATCCACTAACTACACGACATCAAGGTGTTGCTAAAAATATATCAACCATGTCACATACCTAAGAAAGATTCTCCCCAAGACAGGAGTATTTATCATTATGGAAATACTAGATACATGAAAGAAAGTCAAGAGAATAAACACAGCTTGTGTAAGATGACTTCAGAGAGACTTTGAGCTCGTCAGAGGCTTGTAAAGTTTATACCACAAAACTGAGCAGACTCAGGAGAAATTTGTGACAAGTCTTCTGGAGTTATTGCAGTACATTGCCAATTTTATGGGCGAGAGCATGAAGATGACTATAATTCATCTGTTAGAGGCAAAACATTTGAGGCTCAGGATTTGAGAAAGCTTTAGATGCTTCACTACCTAACACAGCAGTGGATTTAATTATCATGTCACAAAACAAGGTACTGCTCACAGCGAGGTGGTGATGAAGAGTGGGAGAAACTGGCACGAGTAAGAGGAAGAAATAATTTGGATGGAAAAATGAGTAATTGTGGAGCTCCCACACAAAACCACCCCAAGATGTTCTGGGTAATTTCAGATCTTTTCATTACAGAAACCCATCTATGATCAACCAAGGGGAGAAGCCTCGTTCCCTACAGCACCATGAGCAGCTGTGGTTGTCCTGGCTGCATGACACTGAAGACATAGAGACAGCCATGCAAGGTTTGTTTGGTCGGTTTGGATGGATTTGTTTTCTTTTTGAGTTGTGGCACACATTTTACCCAACTTTCTAATAGAGTACAGGTTTAACAGATTCCAGGATGATATTGAGTGTCTTTAACAAAGACCACAGACTGTTCCTAGAAGAATGTGGAAAGGTTGAATAAACAAGGAGGCTCCTGCTACTCGGGAATAATATTACTCCATGGACATCTGAACAGTTGTGGTTCAATCACAGCTGTAATAATGACCATACAGGAGTGACCTGAAAGGCACTACAAATCCAAAACGATAATTAAATTGGTAGCACACCAAAACAGACAATGTGATGCCAGTAGGGCAGCTGGCATGTTTCAACCTGGGGAATAGTTACAGGATCAGGCTCTTCTATTTTGACTGCGATGGCACATGAAAAGCATACGTAGGCTGACTAGAGATAAAGACAGTTCCATGCAAGAGAGCACAGTATCCTGAGACTTATACAGCAAAAGCAATGCCATGACCACTTGCAGAAAGAACATCAATTGACCTTGGGATTCTAACACTGAAAACTGGGACAGCTTACACAATCGCATTGTGTTCTGCAACATCTATGGGAGGACCATGTATTCCAAGTCATGGGTTTCAGCGTGAGTGTGCACATACCATCCTGCCCCAGTACCCAGATTATTTATTAAGCCTGTTACCTTGTTCACACCATCTGCCATCGCTTGCAGTGTCAGCTCTCTAGGTCCGTCCACAGTCTTTCCATTATCAGTTGGTCCCCAGCTGGCACTATATATATCTATGACTTGAGGCATATGACTGATAGAGGAAGCCTCAATAATGTCTGTCATAAATGGCTGGTCAAGCATTCGAATACCTGTAGATTTAATCAACATAAACATGAATTATGCATTACCCAGCACAAGATGAAATCTCAGCACCTGGATAAGTCCCCCAGTTACAGGTATTTTAATTCTCTGGCAGTTTCACCCACTCAGTAATTTCACACTTGCCATTCACATTTCACCAAAGTGTGCCCACCCAGTAGGATGCCAGCACTTAAAACACCCAGCCTTAGCAATGCAGCGTGGCCCAGAAAGAGAAAGCACTTTATTGTTAGCTTTCTAATTACATATTATTTTCCATCTACTATTCGAAAATACTTTTAAAACAGTAGTATTCAGCAATCTCAGCATTTCAGTAGTATCAGTAGTATTTAAAATAGTATTTTGTAACAACTAGGGAAAAGGATTAAGCCCCCCCCATCTCTAATTTATACTCAGTGATGCATTGACACTTCATTAGTTTTTCAAGTAATTTTTCTGTTTATTTTGGTTCTTCTCCAGAATTTAATCAGAGGGGAAACAACAATTTCCTGGAAAAATATCATTGTGTCAACATGCAGACACAATAGCAAAATATGGCCAGTGTTTAGAGAAAAAAAGCAAACTAAAACCTGCTTCCTTTAACCCATACTGCAGTAGAAATCAAGTTAGTTTAAACGATACAATCCTAGGGCATGCCAACGTTATAAAAGCTCAAAGTGTGGCCCTAAGCAAGCCAAAGAGCGTGACAAACAGCAGCGCCAGCCCTCACATCCATCATGCCCCATACAGAGGACAGTTTCACTGACAGACAATGTCTCGGTGGCCTTTGGATGAGACCTGAGTAACCAGGGATACATTCCAACTCTGATTTGTAGCCTTTAGTTGAAGTTCAGTTTTTCCCAACAGTTTTAGGACACAGATGGGACAGAAATCAATACCACAGAGCCAAACAGTGTGAATGGCACAGAGGATCCCAATATAGAAGCCAGTGCTTTTACTATATTCAATACAAAATCGATGGGCCAAATGTGCAGCTGGAAAAAGTGGTATAAACTTCAAACAGAAACCAGACCAAAGATGGATACTCCGGATCTGCTAATTAAAGCTAGAAATTACGACGTCAAACTCCGTGAGTGAGAAATCCCTCACATGCTTGTAAAATGCAGATCTGCACTGAAACCACAGAATTAATTATCAACCCTGGGGAGGTGGGGGAACAACAGGAGGAACCAAGCCATTTGACTTTAAGGCAAAAAAGAGGTACAAGAAGCAAAACACATGATGTCCCAGATCCTTGGCTACCAACTTCCAATTCCACCTGCAAACATGGACCCTGAAATCACGTCAGTAGCACTCCCAGCTCTAACGAACTTCGAGGTCCCCACTGACCACACGGTGGTGCTACAGGTGCACACCGTCCTCAGGCAGGAAAGGCACTTACAAAAATCTGTGAGGATTCTGCTATGAAGCGGACAAGTATTGAAGATCATTTGTAGGCTGTTGGTCATCAGAAAAGGCCTTCAACTCTTGATTTGTAAGCAACCAGCTTGAAGTTGTAGAGTTATACTAATAATACAGATGAGGTCCAGCCAAAATCCCATGGTTCAATTCACATTCCTCTAAAAGCAGCTATCGCCAGAATGCAAATTTTGTGAAATGTCCCATCCCTGAAGGGGACATCACCATTACTGAAGAAAGGGGACAAGCACTAGACCTACCTCGCCAGTTACTAATTCTCAGTGATATTTCTTGGGGTAACAGTCTAGCAAACATTTCTTGGTGCCCTTTTTACAGTGGAGATTCAGCTTATGATTGTGTAGGTGCCAGGTGAAACGTAGCCTTCCCTGGATTCTTCTGACACCACGGTGAAACAGGCACTGGCCAAGCAGAGCAGAGCTGCCCATGCACACACACTGTGAACCATTCCCAGGAAGCAATGGGTGCATTCACACTGGTGTTTTGGTGTGGAACGGAGTATGAAAGTGAAATTCATGAGCATCTATCTCTGCTTGCTGTGCCTCGGTTCTCATCATGGAACAGTCTTAAAATTGGGAAACTGGATTTCTTCAGACTGAACTAAATCGACACATGTTGTCCAAGAGCTTAACTCACTCCAAGGACTATATTCACTCTTTCAGTGCAGACAAGAGCTAGTTAGAAGCAAAAATACCCAACACATCCGAGGTGTGAATGCTGGGTGCTAGGCACCACCCACTTAATTCTGTGCACCTGCTCCCACCACTCTGCATTGCTTGTTAAAATAGAGGAAACCAATGACTGCAGAGATTTACAGTGCTGCAGTCACTGACCTGTGAAAGCCTAAAGAGTAAGAGCATTTGCCTTTTCAGATAGTTTCTAAGTGCAGCAAGAATTCATATTTTACCTCCTGCAAAATGAGATTTGTCACAAACGATTCTTCAACTATGCAGGGAAGAAGCACTGAAAATCAGCATACAAACAGGTCTTGGCATAAGAAGGAGAAGAGCTGTTCCTTTGCAATGTTATTAAAGAGGCTATATAAGGCCTTTGATTGAAAGGGCAAAGCCATGGAGAATTCCTCTCCCCAGCTACTGTGAAAACTAATAAGCACATGGCCCAGTGCCAACCTGCAGTCCTGTCCTGGGCACCACTCCCTGTCTCTGCAGAAGTTCTGCCAGAGGCACAGTGGCATAAGGACCATTTACAGCTTGAATTGCTACTGTACCTGCCACCTTGGAGTTATATGCAACTCCCACACCGCAGATGTTGTTGTTGGCAGCAGCAGACACCTCTCCCGCACACCTTGTCCCATGGCTGTGAAAGAGAAGACAGAGACACCATGTGAACCCCAGCTAATGCATGTGCTGAACTGAGCTGGGTCACCATGATCTTGGTCTTGCCTCATAGTCAGCTCCCAGCACTTCAGAGGAAAACCATTCCATGGCAAGCTGTTGAGTGCTGTACTTCAACACTCAGATAAGCTCATTCCTTCCTGAAGCAGGAGGTAATCAACCTCCCCCCTGCAGTATGAGCAATGCTTGTTCTGAGGTTAACATGCATACTTATGCTTCATTTTGTTTTAAAGTTATTCAGACCTTTTCTTTTTAACTCTGTGCAACAGTTTCTGCCTTGTTACCAACTGTTAGTCAGTAGAAACAGGCCCTTGACAGAACAGTATAAATATAAGATCAATATTAATTCCTTTATTTTTGTGACTTGACAGTGTGACACCCATTGTTTTGAGCCCCACAAAACAAAGTCTGATTGCCTTTCTGCTGTTCAAATACGTGCAAGGAGCATAGCCCTGTCCACAAAAGAAATGCTACGGAAAGACGTGGGTGCAATATCAAGCTGGAGTAGCAGAAGGGAGCCACAATGGTCACTGCACTCCTCAGCAGCAGAGCTGTGGCCTGGCTGGCTGGCTAGGCCCAAATCTGGTCGGACCTCAGGGCACATACATCCCACTCCTCCAGTGCCTAATTCCCAGGAGAGCTGACAAGGTGCTCCAGCTGTCAGCTCGCAGAGTTAGTGCTTTCTGCTCAAGTGGGAAATGTCTCTGCTCTGACACGGAGGTCCAGGTTCGGGCTGACACGTAGCATTTTCAAGAACACTTGGTGTCTCTGAAGTGCTTTACAGCTCTTAACAGAGACCCTGTAGCTGGCAGCGGCTCTGAGGCAATCCTGCAGGAAGGCACATTGCATTTTCCTTTCTTCTAATTCATCATAGACATTAAACCACAGAGAAGATAAATATGGACAATATAATCTAGGTTAAAAAAATAGCACAGCAGCAGAGAAACTAGTGAAACCTGTCCTGCTGTCAGGTTTTTTTAAGTTTAAGGTGTTGAATCAATATGAATCCATCCTACACTGCTCACATCAATCCACTCTGTGCATTAAAACTGGCATTGCTCCTATAGCATCCTAAGGATTCATGCAATTAGCAGTGCTGTATTATAAAGGCTACACAGAGTACCAGATGAATCATCCTGGGAGGCAACAAATTGTTTTGTTTTAATCATCTTTTTTCTCTCTCTCTCTCCCTCTAAGCACCTCTGGCAAAGGTGAGTGTAACATTAATAAAGGGGTGAGAAGCAACATGTTCTTTTTCTTGCTGTATTTGGAAGAATATATTTTTAAAGGCAGCTCCACAAAAGAAAATGACTGGCCTCAAACATACATGATCATGAAACGGTGAAGATCTCATGCCAGTTCCTTTTACAAAGCGGGCAGAGAGGACAGTCATACAGATTTCTTATTCAGCTGCCGGAGAAATTTCTTTCAACAGTCAAGCAGATTTTCCTTCATGCCCTTGTTCAAGGAACTGTGAAAAAAATATACTGTTGCTAGGCATTCATTATCTAGTCACCTGTGGGCTAGCTACAAGGCACAGAGCAGAATAAATGGCTTTGTTAAACAACTGTCTTGACTGATGCTGAGATGCAAAAAAGTCGGTGACACTGTCAGGTGAGCTCTTTCTCTCACAGAGGGAAAAGCTGTATTAGGACCTTCCTGGTGAAAAGATTTTGTCGGAAGGTCCTCTCCCTCACCTCGCCTCCCCAGTGCAGTGGCCCACATGATGGAGACTGCAAGCAGATCTGTGCTAGCAGCTCAGGATACTGTGCTGCTGACTGGAGGAAAAAAATCACACATGAGTTAGTGGCAACGCATTTGGTTGAATTATTAATGGCAAACAGCAGACTTTTCTAATATAGCCCTACTTGCTCTTCATGTATCATTGATAAACCCACTGTGGTTTCTATGAAGTGACCCATGTAATGGGCACAAATCATGGCTTTTCTCTCCAGTGTTCACCTCTTCCTTATTATTTCGAAGTTTAAAACAACAGGATAGGAAACAATTAAAAATTTCACCTATGATCAAGTTACTTCAAAGTAAACCATATATTAGCATGTACAGCAAGTTTTCCATAAACACTATACAAATGCAAACATTTTACATGAACATTCCTGAAAAACTAACGTGGGAGAGTGTGATTCAACTGAAAAACATTTTTGCCTTCCACTGGTTTAAATAACCTATCTGAACCAGCTAGGAAAATTTCACTCTGCTTTGTCTTTGAAAACTATTTGTATTTCTAAAACCCACTGCCAATGCTATTGTGCATGCTCTTCTATTGACTTATTTTTTAAGAGAGTCAGAGGTGGCACAGATTTTCACTGAGGTTCCTTTTCATCTGCTTTGAAATGCTTCTGCAGACAGCAAATAACAGGATCCATCCTTCATAACTTCAGCTATCTGCGGTCTCACTAGCTGGGACGATCTGCGTATCTTGACCACTTCAGTTGCTTGCATTGGGCAGCAGTTAAATATGCAAAGCTCAGAGGGACACTTTTGTGGGGCAAATGCCATCCCCTTTTTACTCACATGACATCTGAGTGTTTGCATAAGGGAAAGCATTGCACTACTTCGTGGAACGTGCCACTCTGCATCCATCCAAACATGCCAAGAATCAGCAGTAGTGCTGTGGCTCCTCCTTGACACTTGTGTCATAACACTGCAGGTAGAAAGAGCTGCTAAATATACAAATTCTCAATAATTATGTGGTTTCCATTGTGTTGATTGAAAAATGAGGAAGAGGGAAGCAGGTGTTTTTACCCTGTTAATGACCATTGTCTGGAAATGAAGGGCAGTTCTTTCCTCAACTCAATGGTAATTTGGATCCATAATAAGGAAAAGACATTTTTACCTCTGAAGAATATGGGCTTCCAAGATAGTGAATAATTTTTGCCCTACTAACTTTTACCTGAGTGAGTGAATACACAGAATACAAAGGCTACAGGAGTTGAAATAATCATTGGTTATTTATATCACAGCAGAAATTCATAATCTCAGTGCTCCAAAATGGGGAGCCCTGACTTGTACCTTCTACATGCTCACAACAACAAATCAGAGGGCTGTACAGAAAGGCCAAGCTATTGCTGACTCCTGCGGGTACCTCCACACTGCACAACATGGTACATGCCAAAGTACTGAATATGGTTCAGGAGGAGTGTATGTTAAAAATCACAGGCAGTTCCCAAAGTGGTTCCTAAAACCCACTCTGAGTGCTATGGGGCTGCCTCTGCTTTTGGGAACAGGGCTTGGTTCAGGGTCCTTCACTGCTCCCACTGCTCCTCAGGCTCAAACACAGCCCTGCCCTATATTGCACCCAGTGTGCCCTATACTGGCTTGGTCCCCAGACCGTGGGTTTGAACACAGTCAAGCAGGCAGTATGGTAAGCATGGGAATAAATCCCTTGGCTGCCCAGTCACCTGTGCACCTCTCCCTCTAACAGCAGCTGAACTGCCTGACTGCAATTCCCTGCCTGAGGCACCACACTCTCCCCTTCCAAAACCCACCCTGACTGGTGTCATAGGCCAGTGGCTGTCAGGTGGAAAGGCCAAAGTGCTTCCAGCAGCCTTAAAAAACACAAAATGGAAGGGGAATCTGTGCTTACAAGCAGAGCAGCTGTGATTAATGAAATGCTCCATGCAAAAACCTCTCCCTTTTTTTCTTAAAGTCTAATGACACTTTGCACATGCAGCTGGCAGCTCACAAAAGCCCCTTGGTTCGTCTCTTTAAAAAACAGTCCTCTGCTTCTTGTTCCACAAATCATTTGAATTGCTCACATAGAAACGTATTCTTTATGGAAAAAGGGATATTACGCTATTTTGAGTCTGATCCTCCTGCATGCATAAACTTCAATGGGAGATACATCACGACTGCAAACTGAGCAAAATGGAGCCTTTATTGCAGGTTTCTCTGAATGGCTTCTCTGCGTAACTACTCTCTATCCAGACACACCTGTGCAGCTGCACATACAGACAGACAGTCATAGCCAGACAGTTGTTACCTACCTTCAGGACTCAGAAATTATGACAACAGCTTATGTGATGAGCACATCAACTTGATTAACAGTACAGCAAAGAAATATGCAGAGAAAAACATAGTCACAACTACTCCTGAACAGCTGGATATAGTGTGTTGGTTTGCATCTTCGTCTGGAGAAAACATAAAATCTTGTCTCTTAAAGCCTTCTTGAATTGTGCAGGCAGGAAAGGGATGCTATACTGAATGTCTTGCTCCTGTGATTTACCTTGCAAGGCAGGAAATTCCCTGTCTCGCCAAAGAAACCTCAAGGTTCATGACAAAGAATGCTATACTTTTTAGGTATCAATTTTTTTTCTGGAAAGAATAATGAAGGAAATCTGCAAAGCAATTTCTGCATTGTTTTTCTCCTTCTGACTTGCTGATCTGAGCCCCCCAGACCCTCAAGAAAAGAAATAGAAGGAAGTGTTGCAGTTCTGTGAAAACCTGAACCATACTGTTCTCAATAATTACAGATCAGGTCACAGGTGATCATGCTGCTTACCCTTGATTCTTCACTTGGATGCCTGAAGTCAGCCAGAGGCACCTGGCACCAGAGACCATAACCCTTGCCACATCCAGGATGCTCGAGGCCCATTTTAAGAGACTTTAGGAGGTAACTCTGTCTCCAGGGCCAGCTTGCAGAACATGAGGACTGCAAACTGTGGCCCACTACAAAATACTTGATAGCAGTACAATCAGTGTTAATGGGGCTTGGCAGAACACACTTAGGTTTATGAAGTTCCACACTGAAAACGACAGAAGCTACCATTACCCACTAAAGCTAAATTTAATTTTCCTCTGCGCAGCTTCAGAGCTAAGCGATATCTTTCTCCTACAAAGATCCTCTGCATGAATAAAGCGAGAAAGGCAGCAGACCTTCACAAATTAGAGCCTTAGTCTTTCTCCAACTTTCCATTCACTAATTGGATTCATACCAGTTTAAAACTGTCAGATGTCTTTTCCCAAAACGAAGGAGAAATCTCACTGACATCTTGCTTTGGCTGAAAAATGGCAAGACTACAAAGGAGAACATCACAGCTCCTAAATCTGTTTCATCCGCTCCAGGAAACCTGCGTCTGAGGTGGAAGCACAGCTGCTCCACTTCTTTGTTGTGTCACTCTGACAGAACTAAAATTGATTTCTTTAGAAATAAAACCAAAAAACCCCATACAAAACTCAGAGGCCAGCCATACAGCCATACTAAGTCAAAGATGAAAACCACATCAAATAGGCCTGAAATATTTTTTGCTAAGCACTAAGACTGAGCCCTGAAACCTTTAGAAGTTTTCAGATCCTCAATGGTGCTGCTATGTAAATGCTGGCAACACCAAATAAAACTATATCTAGAAGGCATTTGGAAATTTTGTTGAAAATATCCTGGAATAGTTTTTGCAAATCCAAGCTAGAACCTGCCTGAGACCCCGGGGAGTATGCTGCAGAGCTAGAGATGCTGGATGCTGAGATCACCAGGTAATAAACACACCTTATAGGTGTGCCTTGCACCCCTGAGTACATTAACATCTTGCTAGGAGCCTGACAGAAAGGGCTTTTTCACAGGACAGATGCAGAACTCAGGGCACACAAACTTTTTAAAAAACTGTGGAAATGTGTTTCCATTCCATTGTAGGAAAAAAAGAGCTTAGGGAAACCAAAAAAGTCACACTTTTTAAAACATGAAGCCTTTTCTTTTGGGCTATTCTTATTTATACCAGACCTTCTCTTGCTGGAAACTGGCTAAGTTCAGAACATATCGAGGGAGAAGTGGGTCTTCAGCAATCATGATGCGTTCAGGAGAAATAACACAACAAGCACGGCTGCACTGTTGATTCCAGGTTTAGAAACACAACAGAACAGGTTCGCAGTCAGTGTATGTGGACTTTAACTCCTCCAGCGGCCAGAAATATCTCAGAATCAGCCCCTAAAATGCTACCCATGTACACTGCCCTTAAATCAAGGTGAAAAGACAGATGATTTAGAACATAATGTAAGATTTAATTGTTTTTAAAGTGGTCTTTCTACACCATGCTGCTTTTCTGCCTTCTTAGTCTACAATTGGATTAAAAGACTTTTTTCCCCCAAAAGCCTTTTCTTGTCTCCAGCTTACTTCCTTAAAATTAACTAGCAGTGACACTGCCTCAGACACAGTAGATGGGAACCCAGTCTATACAGATTTGGGTTACCACAACGTCCTAGGATAGCTTACAGAAAAAGCTATGTGGCTATCAGCCATTCTCACAATCTAAATACATGCTCTTCTGAAGTGGCAACTTCATTTATAAACTATAAAATGGTTGTTCAGTACTATTTAGAGGTTACCTAAAAAAAATGAACTCATAAGTAACCTCTAATTTTTAAGCAGTAGTGAGACTGTAGCTTCTGTTCTGGCAACCATTGAATTTAGCAGAAAACAGGCATGCCACAAATACCAGCAAATAGTTATATAACTTCTTAAGCAAACCAAAGCGAACAGCAAGCTGATCACAATCCATTTACCTGTTAAACCAGTCATCTGTATAGCGGGGGTAGGGGTAGGGATCATTACTGCTGAAGTCGTAGCTGGCTTTGGCATTCTGCAAAACACAAAGAAGTTCAGTAAGTCAGCAGAAAAACAGATATGCAGGGGAAAGCCGAACACAAATTGAAGGGGGACCTGAGAATCATCAGCAAATTTTGTCCTCTTCATTCTGTGAGATGCATCTGGAGGCAAACCAGTCCCTGTTGTGGATGTGCCATTTCCCACACCGGCAAGCCTGGAGGAAAGGTGCTTTCTGGAGTGCAAAGCCTCCTGCAGACCACTAGTATTTCCCAACAGTGTGGCTAATTGTGAGGTGCTGTGTGAGCTCAGGTTACTACTGAGGGACTGTTCACCACCACTTACAAGAGTCTTTAAGTGTCATGCTACTTAGTGTGGCAGGGCAAAGGTTAAATCTAATTTTCAAACAGTGGTAGAAGTGACCAGACACTTAGGTCTTCCATCATAGAATTATTTTTTAAAAACTCATTTGTGGTACTACAACAGACAGTCAGATTTCTAAAAGCATTTCAATGCCTAAGAATGTAAATTTCTCAAAATTTAAATGTGAAAACTGCACTAATGGTCAGCACATATGCCTGAAAATCCCTTTGCATATTTTCTTGGTCCTTTAGTTGTCTGAACAGCTTCAGAAATGTGGCTTTCAGGCGCTTTTGAAAATGTTATCCCATGTCTCTGCCTTTCATATAAATCTAAATAAATCCTGATTTTTCCCTATCAGCAGAGTTAAGGACACTCAGCAACTTTTTGATGCTTTATTTGAGAAGGAAATGGAAAGTTTCAGAGTCAAGTGCCATCTTCTTTCTTAATGAAAAAATAAATAAAGGGTGACTGAAAATTAAGCTTTTAAAAATATTTAGAAGCTTCCTCTCAAGTGTATGTTCACAGACTTTATATTTTAATAAACACTACACTCAAGGAACAGAATTATGTTAATTCTTAATTAATGTGTACTTGTATTCTTTTTAAGATTTGGCTAAGCATGCTATTGAAGATAATTTGAGACTCGTGTATGAATAGCTTTGCTCCTAAAAACATTCCCCTTCAGCAGATTCTCAGTTCCTGGGGTACAGGAATAGACAGTCCATTGGTAGCACCAAAGTCTTCGGGTTTTGGATTCAAAAACCCCTAACTCTCAAAAACTTGTGCCAGAATGAAACAGGGACAACATTGTCCTTGATCCCTGGAGGGTAAAACTAAATATCTCTCAAGTTACTGTACAGTGATTTTTGGGGGTGATCATTTCAGAAAGCCTGGTTGCTTATATTCAGCACGGACAATAAATATTTTGCAGCATTTGAACGGACCAGAGATTTGCAGAATGCCTATGACATGGCTTTATGGTGTTCTCCAGCTCAGACATAGCTGAATCCCTTTGTGGGTATCCTTATTGATCTCTCCACATCTCTAAACTAAGGGTCTGATTTTCAGCTTGAAGATGCCTTCCAATAATGCCAACTATAGCCACAAATTCTCAGTACTTCTAAGTCTCTGTGCCCAGGTGCATGTTTAATTTACCTCTTTTAATTACAACAACTGCTTATACAGCACTTTGAATGGCATAGATTTGTACGAGCTAAGAGTAAATAGAACATGACTTTTCATCCAGGGAAAGAAGGGGAATTTGACAGTAGTCTATAAATCATGAATAGCACAGAGAAGGTGGACAGGTGGACAGAGAGTTATTATTTACTACTTCTCATAATACAAGAACTAGTGGGAATACACAGAAATTTCCAGAGGGGAGACTTAGAAGCAGCAGAAGACAAAAAGTACTTTTCCACAGAAGATGTAATAACTTACAAAATTCATCGCCCCTCAGCAATACAGAGGTTAAAAGCCTGAATGCAATCAAAAACTGGTTAGACAAATTAACGGAAGATAAATCTGGAAGGGGTATTAGATGCTGTGGTTCCTCCTTCTCCAACAGACCACGAAACAGTGAATGCTAGAAGCTGGGAGGCCATAATCAGGTAGGTACCACACAGTCTCTGACCACTGCCTGCTGTTGGAGGTAGGATCCTGAGCTAGAAGACTCTGGGCCACACCCAGTGCACCTGGCAAAAAAGCCATGTGGCACAGACATCCCATATTAATGCACAGAGGAAGTCTGGATTCTGCATTGTCCCAGAGAGCTGTGCAAGGGGTCAGGCTTCATGCAGTACACGGTAGTAAAAAGAAACGAGCTTGGCAACAGAAGATCCAGTCCTGTTCTTTATTAATGAGTGCAGTATCTACTCCTAGCAGGACAAGCTGGAGATCCACATCCTATGGTAAAGTCAAAATGGAAATGATGACTCTCTCTTGAGTAATTTAATTAGCAGATAAAACCTACTCTGTCACAGAGTCTAGCTTGGCAACCTTCGGAGAGAAATGCATTTCAATCACAAATTAAAGAAACTTTCTTATACTACTGCCTTGAACTAGACATGGCCTGGAAACTATGCAGACTGCGAATAACAAAAGCTTAATTCCAGTGACTTCGGATAGTTTCTTTCAGGTAGGTGTGGTCTAACTCAGAACTAAGTGTCATTACTTTAATATATTACCAGCCTTTTATTGTCAGAACTTCTGCTTTTACTCAAAAAATATTGTACAGATGAGAATTTAAACTTGGGCATGGGTCAGCTGTGTTTTTTCCCCATCTGGAAGAAATGCAGTTCTGCTTACACACACCCTAAGCTCAAAGCAGGTCTGGTGAGGCTGATTTTTCATTACATCATCAGACACGCAAGCACCTCGTGGTAGCTAGCAACCACTCTTGACTCTAGAACTCTCTTGTGTAAAGAATTATGGATGGAAAAGCCCTTCTAGCTGTGCAGACCTACCACTCGTGTCCAGAGTAGTAACAGGCAAAGGGATTCAAGCACGAATGATTCAGCCACTCTATAGCAGACTGCAGCTCTGCTGTATGTCCCATGAAACCAAATGTGCCAGCTTATGGGAAGGTTGCTTTAGGCTCGCTATAAAAAAAGTTGTGCAGCACTCTTCCACATCCTGGAGCTCTTATTCACTTGATTTTGGATCAGTGCACTCAAAGGAAAAAGATATCTAATGTAGCAGAAGGAAAAAGATAGCTAATGTAGCAGGAATCATCCACAAAGTGCAAAATTAAGAAGAATTCTTGGAAAGAAAACAACTGCTGACTGCACAATTTATCTTCATTAGAATCTTTGAGAAAAGACAGCGAGTTTCAGCTTCATGAAAGAATATGCCGCCCACACTATGGAAGCAGTGGAATGGGTAATGAAACAGCAGCGACAAGTACAAATGGACTGCTTCAAGTTCCTAATTTAAAGATCAAATCCCCAAATATCTAAGCCTCAACCTTTTTTATTTTATTTATTTTTTAAAAAAAAAAGCATAAACCAGTGACAAATTAAATCAGTTTCAACACTAGACCAAAATGAGAACTGGTTCGGTGGATAGTCAAAATATTTCATCTTGCGTTTTGCGAAGTAAGTATTAAAATCTGTGGTCTCCCATTCTCCTCCACAGGCTGGACTCCCCAGCAGGCAGCAAGAGGGCATTTATTGCTAACATGGAGAATTAATCAGGGTAGGAAACTGGAAGGTGGCAACCAAGACCACTGCAAACGGGGATCTGCAACAGCACACTGAAATGAAAATTTTGCTTTTCAATTCACACGATTCAGTTTCCAGTTTTAATGCCAAAGTAGCCTACTGGCAGTTACTTCTCTTAGACCTGAAGTGTCTAATATTTGGTTTTCAATATCTAAGGTAGTTCCTGGTCTTTTTCTCCAGGGAGCAACTCAAGCCACCAATTTTAGGCACTGATCATAGACTGTGGTCTAGCTTAGACTAGTCACTAGGTGTACAGTGTTAGAACAAGATGAATCCTATCCCTTGTGTTCAGTCAAAACCAGTTCATTGTTGCAAAGTGATTTGAACCTGATGTTTATCAGTCACCATCTATACACAATTACTCATAAATAATGTCTATTATATAATTAAAATGCTATTACAGAGAGGAATGGCATTGTATTTTAAGGCATATCTCTATTTTTGCTTTCTAGCCTCTACCCCAAATAAGATGCTAACAAATGGATCAGAGGATGAGATTCTTTCAATCATTTATTAAGTAATGGCTTGTATACTATGACACAAATAGATTACTTTTGCCTGTTTATAAAACTCTGCTTTCCTTAAAAATAAGCTTACACCGGCATTTTCCAAAGAACTGCTCTGTACTTTTTGAAATATATGCAGTAAAATTTTCTGTGTAAAGCATTCATTATGTAAAATATGACAGTAACAATATATCAGTTGTCCCACGTGTTGCTCAGATCTGCAATGAAATTATGTACCTTGAGTAATGCAGCAAGCCTCTGAAGTGTAATTCACAGATACTTCTCTTTCTCTCCATAACTCAAGAAATGTGCCTATGCTCACATGCTAATCCAGGAGACAAACAATTAAAGATATATGTCCCGTGTGTCACAGTCTGACTCTATTCATGACATTAAAGTACTGGTGGATTTAGCCCAGAAATTTGTATCTTTTAAAAGAACAGAAACATTTTTAACACAGGTGGCATCTGGTCTTACCCTCCTCAGGCAACTGCAAATCCTTAGAGATCTGAGGCAGAAAGATACCTTTTGCTTGTTTGATTTCTCTGATCCAAAGAGCGAGCAAACCCCTGGGCTCAAATTACAACATATAACATCTCAGAGAAACTGTACTAAAATAACACCAAACGTCACATGGTGGAAAAATGAAATTCCATTTTGTACACACAAGCTTAAGACAATGGAATATGCTCACCAGGAGGCAAAAGAGGAGGCAACATGATATTTTGCCTAGGAGAGGTGCTATAAGGCTTAAAGGTCATTAATGAAAAATAGAGGCAGCGTTGCTACGTCAGCAGTCATGCAGTAAGCCCTCTCCTCTCTGCCACGGGAAGCATTCTCTTTTATTTTGTTTTGTTTTGTGGTTTTGTTTTTAAATGGAAACGAAAAAACCTTCAACTTCTTAAATAGCTCTGCCTCTACATGATCTAATTTACATGTCCTCTAAC